TATTTTTAAGCTCTCAGAACTGTCTTCCACCAAATAAAGAGAAAGATAGTGAGTGAGGATGGAATGAAGGAAAAAGAGCCCGACCTGTTCCCTTCCGGAAGGTTAGTGGTGTTAGTGGCATTGTCAAGCTCTCCTTCCGTTAAAAATGTGTACTACAATCCTCCACTTTTGCTGTATTTTCCGTCCAGAAAGTCCTCAGTGTCGTCATGGTAGGCCCATACAATATACATCTCTCCTTCCTGACAAAACGGAAGTAACAAAAAAGACACGAGTAAGAGGAGATTAACTGGGAGATTTGATTCTGTTTGCTGTATATCAACTTTGCCCTTACCACTTGCTGTGAAGATAAAAAAAAAGGGATTTCGCCCGTCAATAAGTGCCCGAGAGCGAAATAACACCTTTTTCAACCTGACAGCAAAAGGCATAAACTAGAAGAGACATAAAAACTGAAAGAACCACAGTAAAAGTTCAAGTCTACAGTGAAAACGAAACGTAGAACACAACCCGGCTTTATCCCGACATCTCCGCTCCTGTCGCCTGAATCACTCTTGCGATGGAATTCTAATAATGTACACCCATCCCTTTCCTTAAGTAATGTTAAACTGTAACCCTCAGTTCCATCTTCTCCAGGTTGAAAATATCCTTTTGTTATAAAGTCCTGAAACCAGACAAAAGTTGCAGATATAATAATTTTACTCAAATGACTTGACTGAAGAAACCTGTGAAAGAAAGGCTGAAAACAAGGGTTTTGAGTGAAAATTATAGCTAAATTTTCATTAGGTAAACATTCATGCGATGAATGGATATAATTTATATTTTCACACGAATGAAGTACAACATTTGCTTTTGATTTGTACTTTGGTATGATTTGATACATTTATCTCCACATCCAAAAACCTGTCTCGGGTGTCTCTTTTCTGATAGAATCTCAAGTTTGTGAGGCCATCTTTTTCGGTTGCTGACTGCACTATGTAAATCTGAATGGGATCTAGGTCTGACCGAAAACATGAAGCAAAATATAACGGCCGAATTCGGCATCCCAAAGAGGGAGGGAGAGGTTAGAGGATTTTTTGGAGTTATCACATGGATTTCAAAGAGAGACTCTGAAAGGGTATAAAAGGGGCGGGGTGAGATTATAGCAAACTGCTGCCAATGGAGGGGAAGGGGGCTCATTTGTATTCCTCAAAGTCCTAGGAGGAGATTAGGTTAATTTCATTGTGACACGGCCGGCAAAACTCCTCCGATGACTCTACCTTGGCCGAACATCAATTGAAATAACAAATTGCCATAAGAAACAAGATCATTTGCTTCTATCAACTGAGTTGATAATGTAAATTGGTCACCGTATAGAATTTCTAAAGCTGACATTTCAAGCGTTAGCTTTTCGTTATTCGCTCAGATGAAGAACTATCGCTCTAAACGTCAGCTTTGGAAATTCTTTGCAGATCCCAGGCACCATTGCGGCGCGAAACTTGCCCCAGGCTCCAACTCGTTTCTAAAGTGGTCAATTTATCTGATCAACTCAGCTGATAAAACTAAATTATCTCGGAACGAATTAGTTGGGTTGGTTATATTTTCTTCTTTGTCAGAATACTTGTCTTTTCTAGCTCGTACAAACAGCGGAAATAAATATCAGTTAATTATCTGATTAAAGATCCGTACTAAAAGACTTGCTAAACAGATGCACTTGCGTCAACGTTTACATTGACAATCATGACACTGCATTCTTCTCGCGATTGGACACTCTAAGAGTTCCTATCAAATAGGTTAACAACAGAAAGCATTTTATACGCGAGGTACTACGATGTGTATTGTTTGCTGTGGTATATTTTTATATCTCTATCTGAGCATCGGCAAGCCCACCACTCGTGCCAAAAAACTTCAAAACATCATGACATAGCAAAATGTCATTCTAATGGTTTACATATCATTATCAGAAAAGTTAATATTGCGCCTCGCTTTTTTTAGTAGGACTTTGACCAAGCTTGTATTACCGTTTTTTTTTCCCGAAGCATTCAACAGCATGTAATTATTTATAGCCTCGGCGCTTGGAATTAAATAAGAAAGCGTATAACGTCGACGAAATGATGTAAAACAAAAATGATTTTGCTTTATATAGACATTCTGGACTAAACAGGAACATTGAAACACTGAATAAGGCGTATGCTGCAAAAGAAAGGTTTTAAGCAAGATTCAAGCCTAAACAGATTACAAGTATGATAATCCTGTCACTGAAGTAAAGTTACACAAACTTTTGCTCTGATTAAAAGCTAACGCTCGAAACGTTAGCTTTGAATTGTCCCTTTTGAAAGTTGTAAGTTTGAATGCCAAATATGTTTAATCACACAGTGTTTAAGTAAATGATTGACAACAGTTCAATGTTTAAAGCTAGTCTGATGCCCAGATCTCCCTCACCCAAGCAATTCAGCCACACAAGTAGCTATAGGGTCTGTGCTTCTGATCTGGGTACAGGAGGAAGCTCAAGTAGACTGAACAAGAGGGCTGCCGCACCAGGTAAAAAAGGTAATCTTACCTCAAACGTGCAAAATCCGGATATTGATGATTTTTTAAAAAAAAGAAAAAAGAGTAGACAAGTGACGAGAGTACAGAAATCATCGATAAGACTGGTAATGCACGACATGGAGTAAGCAAGACTGGACTGCAGTAAAAATGTCACTGCGAAAGTGCATTTGCAACTTTATCTTCATTAACGCAACTGGTACATCAATACTATTTCAAATGTATAAAAACGTTCCCAACTTTGAATGCTCAGAAAATGCTTGCATAAAGAAAGGGTGGGGTCAAAATTTTTGTCTGGTGAAAACGTCATATTAGGAAATTTGATCACGTGGCAGTTTGCAATAATAAAAAAGACGGTGCCAAAAAGTACACTTGCGCAGCTGTAGTTTGGCCATATAGGACGTTAAGCTTGTACCAAGTTTTTAGAGCCTTCTTGTCGTACGACGACAATGACGAGGAAGACGTCGATTAAAAAAATTAATTTCTATTTTAAGTTAGAATTTTGCGAGTGGCTGGATGTGTTTACCATCATTTACTGTGTCACATCTCAACTTCAGCATAACACATATGAGCACTGTTGTTTTCCATGAAAACTTAAATAATTTTCCGTAGGGGTTCCGTTCTCGGACCGCGCAAACTTCGGTTACTTCTCGTCGTTGTTTTGCAGAGGACGACTAAGAAATGTAGAAAGTTTCAAAACGCAAGTGCTGAACTACTGTTCTGCCACGTCCGTCGTTGTCGTCGTCTTCCTGGTTTGCTTCAGGGTCCCCTTTTCTTTAGCGCAGGAGCGTAGAAGGAGATACTCGACGTCGTACGAATTGGACAACGTGCATGATGTTGCAAGGCCATTACCCGAACTAGTGCAGACGAAACGTGTTGAAGCAAAAAAACAAGAATGCAAAAGACCTAAGAGCAGGAATTAGGCATTTTCCACTGGCTGCCTTTGGTTTTAACTGGGTCAGTTTGCAAGAGGTGTGATATATGGGATTTTCTTAGGCTCTCTTGTATTCTAATAGCAAGGGGAATTTTCTCTCCCACATGTGTTACATGTGATTGAATTTATTCGAATTAAAACCAATTCCATGTCATGCAACAAATTTGTACGTGGGACAAAATATTGTGCTTAGAAGGTAAACTGGCATGAGATGAAGTTTTTTAGCAGGATTCCCAATACATTATTTTTTTGTTAATTGGGGGAGAGTAAAAGAAATCTCTTCAGGGTAAAAACGTCTGAATCTGAAGTCATGTGCAGCCAATTCAGACCCTCGTTCAGCAGATGTGAGGGCCAGCTGGACCACTAGTTTCTCAGACAGTTGTTTCAATGACAATTCTGAATTATCACCAAGGCCTTCTAAGCAACAACCAAAATGTTTCAATGAGAAATCTCTCGCTCTAACAATTTCCTTAAAAATTTTCTCTCTTAATCTCTGCAGGAGGTTTATTTGAAAAAGCAAACATTGAATCTCCGACAAGCAAGGTTTTCAAGATAAAATGCAAAAAGTCCATTCCTGTTTATTAAGGATAAAGGGAAATTTTTTTGGGAATACTGGATATGGAAGTTAATTTATACTCTCTTGGTGACGACCGTTCCCCTGAAAACTATGCGATCCACCCAAAGATCTCCTCCCCACCCCTCCCCCGACAAGAGTTTAATAATGACTTGTCTGTAAAATACAATTTGTATAAAACGAGCCGGCATTTGGTATAACACAAGTCATTGATGACGCCAAACGTGATGGCCAAAGGAGTAAACTTTATTTTCACACAATGAGCTTACAAAAGCTTGCCTTGGACCTACAAAGATTTAAATCAGCTTCACTTTTACAAAGCAGTCACGCATGCTAAGTTTAAGACGAAAAGTGAGACCTAACACTGAGACCCACTGACAAGCTACAGGAACCTTAACATTTCCCTGAGATAGAAAGAGAACGGGTTGAAATCATAGAAATGTGATAAAAAAATGCAGGGGTAGACTCACTGATAAAACATTACGAATCACGAGCCAACTTGAATTCTAAAGAGATTGAAGGAGGATGGGAGAGAACAGTGAGTTACAAGGAGGAGATGAAAATATGATAAAAGTTAAGAAAAGAAAAAGACAAAAGAATTTCATCAAATACTGTTTTCACCTCGCGCTTATCATGACGTCGTGTGACAATACCTCGTCGATCAACTGTCACTAAAAAATTTTTACTAAAAAATTTGACATGGAATGGAAAAAATGGTCAACGAAAAGAACAAATGAGGAAAATTCCCAGGGAGAGGCACACGCCAATCCATCCCACCCACCGTT